GAACTGAAAATATGGATGGAGGACAACAGGTTAGCTTGTTTGTCGCACTAGCACCGAGCTAATACATATAAGGTAACATAGCATTGGTGCGAGCGCAAAGGCTAACAGGCTAATCTGAGGTTGTTCTTCCATGAAGCAGCTCTGTTGTCCTCCATCCATATTTTCAGTTCCAGGCTAACCTTCAGGGTGGATATAGCTCGCTAGCAGCCTCGCACCGAGGACCTATCCACGTCATCATTTACCCAGAATGCTTTGTGTGCAAATAAAATGGCTCCATCCGTGTCAAAATATATTTTTAAACTTATAGTTTAAAAATGACAAAAACTGAACATCCTACAGTATTTTTACAGTCTTTGTTTTACGTTAATCATATAAAGTCTAATGTTACAACTAATCATGGATCCCTTTAACAATAAATCTAACGGCTGCGCCTGATTGGCTGAACCAGAAACTTTGTTTTGCAGCACATCCTCAGCTCTGATCGTCCCACAAATGCTTGTTCCTTACAAATGTGGCACCATATAAAAGATTTATTGTTATAACAAATTATTAATCTGCCAAACACTAACATACTGACTTTTCTGCTCCGTTTTTCTATAAAGTGGATAGAAACGGAGGCAGGAGCAGGACAGAGCGGCAGTTGATGTTTTAATTTATTCGTCGATGATTTTCGTGTGAAGAAAAGTGAAATTTGAGAAGCTGTGATTTAGATTTGTGAAACTGGAACTTTAAACTTGATGTTTGTGTTGTTGCAGCCGTCTCCCAGTGCTGATCTGACCTGCAGCTTCATCATCCTCAGACCTGAACCTCAGACCTGAACCTCAGACCTGAACCTCAGACCTGAACCTCAGACCTCATGGATCTGAAACCCTCTGGAGCAGTATTCTGCAGCATCCCTGACACCTAAACGACTCTCCACGCTTCAGTTTCCTCCTGACCCGCCCCGCCCCCCCTCGCTCGGACCGGCACCATGTCCGAGGGGCTCCTGCAGGTGGAGATCCCAGACTTCGGCAGCAGTGTTCTGGGGAGCCTGAACGAGCAGCGGCTGCTGGGCCACTACTGCGACGTGTCCATCCTGGTCCAGGGCCAGGCCTTCAAGGCCCACCGGGCCGTCCTGGCCGCCTCCTCGCTCTACTTCCGAGACCTGTTCAGTTCTGCGGCCGAGCCCTCCTCCTCCTCCTCCTCCTCCGCCTCGCAGGCGGTGTTTGAGCTGCCGTCCTCGGTGACCCCGGCGTGTTTCCAGCAGATCCTGTCCTTCTGCTACACGGGCCGCCTCAGCATGGCGGCCAGCGAGCAGCTGGTGCTCATGTACACGGCCGGGTACCTGCAGATCCAGAACATCGTGGAGCGAGGCATGGAGCTGATGCTGATGAAGGCCTCCTCCTCCTCCTCCTCTCCACTGTGCTGCGACTCTCAGGTGGGTCTGACGGGCCGGGACACAAGGTCCAACTCTGACCTGCAACCAGCCCAAACCAAGCTAGTCTGCATGGTCTGACCTTCGGGGTAAATGTATTGGGACCAGGGGCGGATCTAAAGGGCGTGGCCACAGGGGCATTGGCCCCAGCTGAAATCTGATTGGCCCCCTGAGGTGATTTATTATTAATAAATCATTAATAAATATTTGTTATGCAATAATTGAGGGTGAGAAAGACAGAACTGTTTAATCGGCCCGCCCCTGATTTAATGCTTCACCGCTAACAGCTGTTGAGTTTTGAGGCCAGCGTTGCTCAGGAACCTGAGGATCTGTTAAACCTCAGCGAACATGCTGTGAATGACCGTCGGCTACTGACGAGCTAAAGTTTAGCTTGTAATCCGTCAAATTCACAGACAAACAGAAGTTTTTGTGCAGGTTAATGTGGATCGGCTGTGGCGGCCATCTTGAACAGGGTTGGCCCTAAAAGTTGGGCCAACCATGGCCAATTGGCCAGTTCAGTTTCTTATCAAATAATGGACAAATTGTTCACATACATATTACATCTAAACGTGCTTATTAAACATTTCAGACTAGGTTATTACATTGTAATTATAATAACTGTAAGAAACACATATTGTAATATAAGTAAGTAAATAAAGTTTTATTTATAAAGCACCTTTCACAGAAATATATTCACAAGGTGCTGTACAGTCATTAACAATGTAAAAATAGTGTAAAGAATAAAATGAAACAGAAAACATAAGTACATATAAGTAATGAAAATTGAAACATCAAATCAAGAATTAATTTCTAAAATTGTAAATCAAACACAAGGTCAATGCAGGTCAAAATATACAATAATACACAAAAACATAATGAATGCAGGAGAGAAAAATATGGTGTAAGTTCAATAGTAAAAACACAGATTGTCGAGCGTTCACAATGGAGGTAGGCCTGCAGTAATGGTGAAACGGTTAGTTAAACACTTGAGTGAAAAAGTGAGTTTTTAGTTGATTCTTGAAAGAGACAATGTTATTAATGGAGCGCAGGTTAACAGGAAGTTCATTCCAGAGCCTGGGGGCCACAGAGGAGAAGGACCGGTCACCACGGGTCTTAAAGTGAGTGAGGGGAACCATAAGGAGATGTTGATCCTGTGAGCGGAGGTCATGTCTGGGGTTGTAAGGAGAAACTTTTAATGTATTCTGGTGCCATGAAGAGCTCTGAAGGTGAGGATATATTTACTAGAGAAATTGTATTTCCTGCAAAAATACTAGTGTGAATGCATCTTGCTGAAAACTTAACCCTAACCAAAGTGTTAATGTGAGCTCACTTTAAAATCTGAAAGAAACGAAACAAAGCCGAACTTTGCAGAAAAACAGTGAAAAGGAGAAAAAGTCCAGTTGAAAACAACAAAACAGCTAAAAGCTAAGCGCTAAAATAGCTGAATATGGCTGAAAACATCTGTCAGAAGCATAAGTAGCACCAATTAGAAGAAAAAAGCAAAAGAAGTTGAAAAAAGCAGAAGGCTAAAATTAGCATAAAATTAGCATAAAATAAGATAAATGTAGCATCCAAATTTTCAGCAAACAGCTGAATATAGCAGAAAGCATCTGTAAGAAGCATACATAGCACAAAGTAGCAGAAAAAAGCAAAAAAAGTAAAAAAGAAGAATAGAGGAAAAAAGCAGCGTTTTAGCTGAAATGGCAGAAAAAAAAGCTAAAATTAGCACAAGGAAGTGAAAAAATGTGTAAGGTGCTGTAAAGATTTAGAAATATTTTAAAGGAGTTTAATGATGTTGAAAATAGCTCCATTTTCATTGGCAACAAAGTGGCTAAGAAAAGTGAAATCGCTAAAAAAGTATAAATGGCTGAAATACCAAAGGTCATAGCACCTCTCACATAAATGAGCTGAACGTTTTGATGTATGAAGTGTTTAAACAGCACAGAAATTATGGAACGAGTTAGATGCTGAAAAAAAACGTACGGAAGAAAAAATGATCTTAATAGTGTTACACAATAATGTAGTGTATTACTGCATTATAAATATTCACAACTGTCAAAGTGACACTTATCACAAAGTGTAACACAGTACACTATTTATTAATAACAAATGAACACTTATAAAGGCCAAACGTTAGTCTTTAATGTGAAAAAACATCATTTTTAAAACTTTTTGTTGATCAATATTTGAAATTATTGTTCAAACATGTAACTAATGTCAACAATGATATATCAAAAAAAGTAAAAAAAAAAAAAAATCACGTTAACACACCAAATAATCCCACCTCATCCAAAATAGTGTACAGTTTTACACTTTACAATAAGGATCCCTTTAATAATTGTGGATATTTAAAATGCTTATATGTTAAAATATGTGTTTCCTAATCATTATTGTGCTACAAGGTGGTAAACTAGTCTGAAATGTTTAAAACACAAACACATTTGGCTCAGTATTTGGAAAGAAACAGGACAGTTTAGTCTCTTCTTTGACCTTAATTAATGCATAATTAACACTTATTAATAATTTATAATGTGTTTACAGATGAATTAATAACCTATCTATAAACTCTTTAAAAGCCATTTAAAATCATCACATTAGAAATGTATTACATGTATGACTGATTAAATGTAAACATTTTACCATAACTGTTGATTTGTGTGAAAGGATGTTGAACAAAGACTGGCCCCCTATGAATACTGTGGCCCCTTGATGGCCCCTGACTCAGGAAATCCTAGATCCGGCCCTGGTTGGGACGTCCTGGTTGATCATCAAAGCTGTTCCCAGTTGTTGTTGTTAGGTGGAGTTTCTGTCCGTGTGCGGCTGGTGTCTGTGGAGCAGACAGTAGCATCTGCTGGATGCTGGCGGAACTGCTGAGTCATGACACGGCTTCATGCCGTCAGTAACAGTAAACTATGACGTCATGTTTCAGACCAACTCGGCGGACGAGCTCGGGGGCTTCGACGCCGCAGTGGCCCAGCGCCAGCAGCAGAACGGCACCCCCCAGCTACAGGAGGTGAGTCCGGACCAGCCGGCCCTGAGCCCCGAGGAGCTGCTGCTGGCCGTCAGCAGGATCAAGCAGGAGCGAGCCGACACGCCTCCTGCTGAGGAGAACGGAGGAGGAGGAGAGGAGGCCAGGTGAGAGAGCAGCAACTCAGCAGAAGCTCTGTTCAGACAGTGAGATCAATGAGATCCAGCCTGCAGCTCGGGCCCCTGAGGGTCCTGAGGCCCCTGAGGCCCCTGAGGGTCCTGAGGGTCCTGAGAGTCCTGAGGCCCCTGAGGGTCCTGAGGCCCCTGAGGGTCCTGAGGGTCCTGAGGGTCCTGAGGCCCCTGAGGGTCCTGAGGATCCTGAGGCCCCTGAGGGTCCTGAGAGTCCTGAGGGTCCTGAGAGTCCTGAGGCCCCTGAGGGTCCTGAGGGTCCCCACCAACACACAAACCAGACATCAGCAGAAGAAATGTGTACTTCTGTTTGTTTTGTAATTTAATGTTCTCATTCAGAAATGCTGAGTCAGCATTCATTCTGATTATTTTTCTGTACATTTTTCAGTCTAACAAAACTTTGTGTTTTTTTTGCTGTTTTACATAAATAATCAAAAAAAATTAAGCTTTACCTAGCCTTTCTGTAATCATTAGTGAACTACTAAATACAGAGATATTCATCAGACATTCAGCTGATATTTATCAGACATTCAGCTGATATTCATCAGATATTCAGCTGATATTCATCAGATATTCAGCTGATATTCATCAGACATTCAG